ACTTCAGCTTTCTTTAAAGTTAAGAAATCTGTTTATAGCTTAGCTGAAAATAATCTCACTTAATTAACAAGTTGCTGGAAAGTGTTTAAGTGTATCTAAGATCATAGAAAAATAAAAAGGAAAAAAAAGAACACCTCTCCCCTCCCTGCTGCTTTGTGGTGTAGGCTTTTTTATTACTTGTACTGTGGTAACACCCAAAGGCCCCACCTACGAAGCTACATGTGCTACAAAGCTACATGTGCTAAACAGTAAAAAACACCAAAGGAAGACAATTTCTGCCCCCAAGAGATTTTGACCTGAACAAAAGTCACCGGATATTTAAATTTCACTAGAATTTGAATATTTATCTTAGAAGTATTTCTGAATTCAGACAACTTGAGTCTAATGTACTTGAGAATTGTCTCACCAAACTCTAGAATGGTAGCTTAGAATGCATTACAATTATTAAGAATGTACACATTGTTGTATGTTACACTGTACTTCTACCAAAGAGATAAGATTTCCTCAAATGACAAACATTCTAAAGGAAAAATTGCTCAGTAATTCAGAAAATAAAATAAAAAAAAATAAGTACACCTCTGATATACAGGTAAACTCCACATTAACACACAAAAATTTTGAAGTCTATTTCTATGCGTTTCCATGTTAGCAAAGCAGATTGGTTTACTAGCATTCACAGGATCAGATCACATTTGAGAAATATTTATTGAAATTTGTTAATATATTCTTGACTTCCTGATGGATTTCTACAAGGTATAAACCAGCTGTATACCATATACACAAGTCCAAGGTACCTATGCTGGATGTATCAAAATGTCTCAGATGTCACTGATCTAGTTGCTAGTCAATGCAGAATCTAGAAAACAATTCAGCTGCCTGAGCTGAGGTAATGCATGACATATGAGGAAACCTTGGGTAACTTTCAGGTCTGTTGCTACTGCCCCATAAAAACATAAGTATCTTAAAAATTCTGGGTCATACCTGCCAACTTCCTATGGATGTTTCAGGTAGGCACGGTTTTAAAGGAGCAACAGACACTAAGTTGAGGTGCCTGAATCAATCCTGAAGAAAAGTAATTTTATATGTATTCCTGGAAGAACTGTGCAATAGAACCCACCCCAGTAAATGGCAAACTGAGTAAAAACTAAAATCATTATGCATTTTCAAATACCTGGACATTCTCAGAGTAGATTTTTTTGCTGATTTATTTACACACACACACACACACACATACACACACACACACACACATATATATATACACACACACACTTATTTATATATATACATAAAAAGCATAGGCAACTTTCAGAAAGCATTCGAACATCAAGGAATTTGAGGCAATTTGCATAATTTAACTAATTTATATTTTTTGCTAAAGCAATAAGTCCTGGTTTTGAGTGAGTGGTGGGGTTTGGTTTGGTAGCAGAGGAGAGGACTATAAGAGTGGCCCCCTGTGAGAAGCTTCTTGAAACTCCCCCAGCTCCAAGTCAGCTCCAACTCTGCACCAAAACTGAGCCAATCAGCTGTGCCTCTGTGATAATGTACTTAAGAAGGGATATGGTGAGGAGGAGTTGGACATGTGAGGAGGAGTTGCGGCAGTTATGTGAACACCAAGGTCAGTGAAGGAATGGAGGAAGAAAGGAGGGAGGAAGTGTGTCGGAGCAGAGACCTCCCTGGATCCTACGGTGAGACAGAAGGCCAGCCCTACCCTGCCACCAATGAAGGTCTACAGCGGATTACACAATGATTTATGGCCTGTGAGGTGTTTCACATGGTTGATCAAGGTGTCTGTGCCCAAAGAAGGCTGGGTTCTTATGGGAAAACAGTAGACCCCTCTGTTGTAGTTCGACGATTGGAGGATTGCAGCATGCAGGAATGTCCCATGCTGGAGCAGCTCGGGAAAGGCTGCAGCCCGTGGGAGGGAATCCAGTTGGAGAAAGTTTGTGAAGGACTGTCTCCTGTGAGAGGGGGACCATGCTGGATCAGGAGGAAGAATTTCCAGAAGCTCTCCCCTTCTGAGACAGTAGAAGTGGCAGCACTGATGGCACCCCCATTCCCAGCCTCCTATGCTGCTGGGACGGGGGGAGGTAGAGATATCAGGAGCAGAGCGGAGCCTGGGAAGAAGGGAGGGGTGGGAAGAAGTTGTTCTCAAGATGCAGCAATGTATCTCACTGTCCTACTCTGTTAAGTGTTGTTAGTGTCTGTAATAAATGTATGGTTTTTTCTACCCCTAACGAGTCTGCCTTTTTCCCATGACTATAATGGGTGATTTGCCTCTTCCAGTCCTATCTTGAATCCCACTCCTGGCTTATTTATCCCTTCTTATTGCTGGGAGGGAAGGGAAGAGTGAGCAGCTGTTTGGTGCTCTGTTACCCTCTGAGTTTAAACCATGACACAGTATTACTACAAAATTTTTCAAGTGAAGACCTAGTAATATATCATAAAGCATTTATTTTTATTGTGAATTTATCAATTACAGCTGACCTATCTATCCAAGGCATTTGTCAATTCAGATACCCAGATAATAAAACCCTTTGCAATTGTCTACATAGTGATAACTGCTTTAGACTGTGCAGAAATAAAACAATTGGCACCAGAATTGAGAGAAATGCTTTCTCTTGATGACTTGAAAAGTCATGGAATTTGTTGAATTATTCAAAGTAACATTAAGTTCTAGGTCTCTGACAAACTTCACAAACCTTGCAAGCACGACTTTAATACCAATCTCCATCTCTCCTTCCCCAAGCAAGCTCACTGAATGCAATTTTGCTGACAGTTTTAACAACATGGAATGGGACAAATCATCAGAACACTGTGAAGCAATGTTTGGGATAAGCCATGAAGTTTCTGGAGCATTTAACATATTTGAACAGCTAAATCACCATTTACTGGAAATTTAAAATTTTCTTTATTCTACAGAAGAAAATTTCCAGATAAATCCATTTTTTTTATTTGAATAATTCTCTCTCCATTAACTAAAAGTGTAAGCTTTAAGAGGGATATAAAGACCCTTTCTAGAAAACATGTGTTAATCTGTACTTGGAAATGTGAAACCAATGTAGACTATAACTCTGTAGCCCTGTAATTACAGTATTTCCATTGCTAGTAACAGACTTAAGGCTTTGTATTAACTCTGCATGGACTCACAACTAGGATATGCTAGGCTTGCTTTGTCTGGACTTCTCCTGATCTGCTAGGAACTTTTGTTTTAACTTAGCTAACAGCAACAGTCTCACATACAGATGGCTCTTATATTATTAGTCTTAGTTGTTGCTTAGCTTTTTTTTTTTTTTTTTTTGTAAAACATCTACTGCCCTAATGTTTCGGTATAAATTTCTTTAACCATCAGTACAAACCAGTTGTCATTCAGTGTAGAATGATTTATGACCACAGAACACAGTACATGAGAATATCTCTTAAAATGTGGGCATAGGATGAAGCCAGAAAGCCCTGTGCTACGTGCTGTTCATGGATCACCAGTTATCGAGTATCAAAGGAAAACAACCTTGAGTGCTGGGTGAAAAGCTCATGGGGATAACTAAGAGGAAAAAACCCATGTATACACAGTATAAAACATACCAGAATAGTAATTGGGGGATAAAATATGAAATCACTAGTTAATGAAGAAAGAACAAGATTTACTGTTGTTGTGGTTTACACTCAGAGGGCACCTGAGACTACACAGCTGCTCACTCCCCCCTTCCCTCCCAGCACTGAGAAGAAAATAAAGCATTAGACTTGGGGAAATGAGATAAGGACAGGGAGGGATGACTCACCCATAATAGTCACAGGCAAAACACAGACTCGTTAGGGGATGAAAAAAGAACATAAATTTAATTCAGACATTAGTAACAACACCACTTAATAGACAGAGTAGGACAGTGAGAAGCATTACCACATCTTAAAACCACCTTCCTCCAACTCTCCATTCTTCCTGGGCTCAGCTTTGCTCCCAATCTCTCTACCTCCTCCCCCCCCAGCAGTGCAGAGGGGAGGGAACGGTGGGTGCGGTCAGTCCTGCCACTTATTCTTCTTCAGGGTGGAGGGAACTCCTCACATTCTTCCTGTGTTCCTTCTTGGTTCTCCTCTCACAGGAGACAGTCCTCCACAAACTTTCTCTGACATGACTCCCTCCCATGGGCCATCCAGCCAGTTCTTTATCTATTGAGTGGTCCATCTGTCAAATACATGTCTCTCCAATTTAGAGACAAGGATGTCTTGCAGGACAGCGTCCAATGCTTTGTACAAGTCCAGGTATATGACATCAGTTGCTCTTCCCCTATCCACCAATGCTGTAACCCTGTTGTAGAAGGCCACAAATTTTGTCAGGCACAATTTGCCCTTAGTGAAACCATGTTGGCTGTCATCAATCACTTCCTTATTTTCCATGTGCCTTAGCATAGTTTCCAGAAAGATCTGCTCCATGATCTTGCCAGGTATGGAGGTAAGACTATAGTTCCTCGGATCTTTCTTTTTTCCCTTTTTAGAAAAGGGTGCTTCCCGTTTTTGAATTAGTGGGAACTTCACCAAACTGCCGCGACTTCTCAAATATGGTGGATAGTGGCTTAGCCACTTCATCTCCCATTTCCATCAGGACCTGTAAATGCATCTTATCAACTCCCACGGACCTATGCACCTTCAGGTTCATTAGATGCTCTCGAACCTCATCTTCTTCTACAGTGGGCAGTTCTTCATTCTCCCAGTCCCTGCCTTTGCCTTCTGGGATTTGGGTGGTGTGCCTGGAGCAATTGCAGGTGAAGTCTGGGGCAAAATAGTCACTGAATACTTCAACCTCCTCTATATCCCAGGTGACCAAGTATCCCTTTTCTTTTTGGAGAAGACCTATATTTTTCCTAGTCTTCCTTTTATCACCCATATACCTATAGAAGCTTTCCTTGTTGCCTTTGATGTCCCTGACCAGATTTAACTCTAACAGGGCTTTCGCTTTTCAAACCTGATCCCTGGCTGCTTGGACAGTTTCTCTGCAGTCCTCCCAGGCTACTTGTCCTTGCTTTCACCCTCTGTAGACTTCTTTTTTACGTTTGAGCTTGTCCAGGAGCTCTTTGTTCATCTATGCAGGCCTCCTGGCTTTTTTACCTGACTTGCTCTTTGTTGATATGCATTGTTCCTGAACATAGAGGAAGTGATTCTTGAATATTAACCAGATTCCTTGGGTACTTCTTCCCTCCTGGGCTTTATACCATGCTACTCTGCCAAGCAAATTCCTAAAGAGGCCAAAGTTGAAGTGCTAAGGAAACCACAACATTCATGGTTTTATTAAAGAATCAGTCTTTACTTTATATGAGCTAGTATTTGCTGAAAGGTACATACAGAGATCCAAAAGTAGATGTTGAAATTTAAAGTTTCAAACAGAAGTTTTAATATAAAATATAAAAATATTTTCATTTTATGCACTTCTTGTCAAAAAAATCTAGTTTATTTCAGTTGATACTTTAACACAAGAAAATAAAAGGCTGGAAGAATTTTCAAAAGCTTTGAAAGTCTGTCTTCATCTGTTACAAACTCAGTTCTATACTTTGTGAGAATCATACAGTACTGAACACACAGTGCACCATTATACAGAAGGGAGCTACTTGTTTGGAAAGTTTAGCTGCTGTTACTAGGTATTGGAGAATACTTAAGAAACATTGTAGAAGCCTCAGACATTTGTGCACATCATCATTTAAGAAAACAGGAAACATGGTCTGTTTCTAAACTACACTACAATATGTATAAGTATTGTGGTCTCCTGATGGGCAAGCCCAGTCAATCTGCTGGAAAGCACCACAGGTTTTTCCCTTCTCATAGATTGGGTTTCTTCTCAATAAAAATGTGAGCAAGAGAGAAATATGTGCTTCCAGGACTCATATGTGCTGAAGCTTTTCAGTGGTGTACCAGGAAACAGGGAAATATCCCTAAATCCCTCAGTTTAGACATATGTCATCTGAGAAATTAGGACAGTATTTCCTGTCCTGGGGTCCACTCTGGCTTATTATTTCATGGTAATAAGCTGAACCAAGGGTATAGCATCACAAAGTATCTAAGGAAAGTAGAATCGGGTAAACCCCAAGTTATTACAACAATGGGACACACTAAAATCCTCTGAGGCAGAAAAAAATGAAATTTTTTTGTCATGGAAATTAGTGACATACAGTCCCCACTGTTTATTCTCAATCTTTATGTGAATCTCCCACAGGTATCATCTGGTACTCCATTCTATGGCTAAAAAAAAATGCAGTTCCAAGCTTTTGTTGGAGTCTTCTGACTAAATTTTCCCCTTTCATGTGAAAAGAACAGATTTGTAGGGCTATTCTGATCTTCCTGAGTATGTAGAAACACCTGTGACAGCAATGAGAGTTCTTTTCAAGGAAGAAGAGCAGAATAGATAATAAGTGGTCCATTGTGCAGACAGGAGAGGAGAATTTAGTTTTAATGATCCCATTACTTTCTGCTAGACTGCTAAAAATTGCTACACTGGATAAACCAGTTCAATAGATGCTGCTCTTTTTTGGTTGTTTTTTGGTTTGTGGTTTTTTTTTTTTTTGAAAAACTGGAATGACTTTTATGAAACAATTTTTTTAAAGACTCTGTAGGGCAATTAGGGCAGCTTAGTAACTTCTTTATTTCCCAATGGATATTGTAATTCATAACAAACAAATTAATATTTAATCTGAAAATTGTACATACTTTCATTGTTGTTGATTTTTAATTAAAACTAAGGTGCTGAAACAGTCAATGACAATTACAAATACAGGAAAGATTAAATATGATAATTTGAATTGTTAATTATGCATTATCACATTGATATGCTAATCGTGTCTGAAGAAAACACAGGATACTTTACTTAAATACTAATGTAACTGCACTGACCATTTCAGCTACTGAGAAAATGTACATAGTGCCTGTGCAGAATTGTAAAACTTAGAGAGAATAATAGTATATGGGATTTATTTGTCTTTTGAAATAACAAAACATTCACCATGAGGACATTTTCAGTCTTATATATGAGCTGTAAAGGACCGTAATGAACTTATAACAGTGCAAAACCAGAAGACAAATTTTAAAAGCTTTTTCAGAAACAAATCCAACTATGTATTTAAATATTGCAAAATGTGCCACTGTATAAAATAGTACAAACAAGACAGGCATCTAGATGTATCCCTGGTGGAAACTGATTTTCACAGGAAGAGGTATGCTAGAATGCTCTTATCATCAGTTGTATTGTGTAGCTGCTTCAAAACAACCAGAAACTTTGTTGGAAAGCTGAGGGTTTTTTTATTAAGACACCAAAATGAACATCACTGGTTTTTGCCCCATGCTTTATCATAACAACAGAAGCTAAAGTCTAATTAGCGTTTTAGTCTTCTCACTTCAGAATCATGAAAGAAGCAAAAAATTTGCCAACTGTTCTAGAATCTGATTGCCTCTGTGTTACAGCTGATTTCCCTACAGAATGCAAAGAAATAGCTACTTGGAAAAAAAAAATAAAAGCGTTAGTTCTGACAGACAAGTGACACAAATATCTCATAAAAAAGAATGTAATAGAATACTATTCCTTTCTGTCCCTTAAGGGCATGAGACAGTGGTTGCATTCCAGAAGAGATTTATCCTATATAACAAAGGCAACAGGATTTCAGTTACCTAGTTGTGATTTCACAATTCAGTGTGTATAGTTTAATACAAGTTACTGTCTGGTCATAAGCCTGGATGCTTTTCATGGATGCCAGTGTATGGTCACTCTCATGTATATCTGTTTCTCAGTATCCTTTATGTCTTTTCAAGCTGTACTGGACATGGTACCATTACTTGAGACTGATAGTAATGATGTTTTAAAAGCTATTTTTCACAAACAAATTTTATGATCAGTTCTTTCAGAATATATTAGATATGCTCTGTAAATACTCTCATGGAATCAGCTTGACTACATCTATGTCCTGGCATAAATGCTGAAAACCTTTCATAGTTGTATGTCTTTGGGCTGAAATAGAGTTAATATTCCTTTTCAGGGACTAGATGAGTGCTGTGTTTTGGATTTAGCTTTGGGTTTGGTATGGGAAAAATGCTGATAGCACACTGATGTTTTCAGCTGCTACCGAGACTTCAAGGACTCTCCGACTCTCCATGTCCTGCCTGTGCGCAAGGGCACAGGGAGCAGGGAGGGAGCACAGCCACAGCACCTGACCCTAACTGGGCAGTGAAATATTCCATATCATGGAACGTCATGCTCACTATATAAAGAAGGGGTGGTTGTGAAGGAGCTCTCTCTCGCTTCTGGTATTGCGATTGTGGGATCTTGGTATCTCGGGGTTGCTAGCCGGGAACAGGCTGGATATTGGTTAGCGGGTGGTGAGCAATTACGCTGTACATTGCCTGTTTATATATTTCTTTTTGTTTTCCCCCCATCATCATTATTGTATTCGTTTTATTGCCATTATTAAACTGTTCTTATCTCAGCCTGCGAGTCTCCCTTCACCCCTCTAATCCCCTCCCCCATTCCCAGGTGGGGAGGGGGAAGGGAGGGTGATTAGCTGCTGCATTGTGGTTGGCTACCAACCAGGCCTAAACCACGACATTGTAGTCCTTGTATCTGTCTTATTTTATATGTTCATGATTATTTATTACTTTATTTTCCCCCGTGTTACTGAAAATAGAGATAGAAGTTTTCTTCACAGGTACACGAATGCACAATCAAATTTTTTAATAGTGACTTATTAATTTATACAATTAATAAAATAAAATAATTATTTTTGTGATAAAATAAAATTATTACATTGGCAGTCTCTATATTCTTCACAGGAATTATTATTTTCTCTGTAAGCACCATTGTTTTATCAGGCTGCAAAACACTGGATATAAAATTTATTGGAGAATGTCAATAGAGTAAAATTTGTGCTCTGTTCTTTGTATAAATTCTTCTGTTGGATCAGTCAAAGGGGAAAAAAATTGAATGGTGTATAAGCTTGCTGATAGTGGATTAAATACTGAAATACATTGCAAAAGAGTCTAGCTTGATTTATCAGGCTTTACTATTTCCTGAGCAAATTCTATTCCTTGGCTGGTCTCAAACAGAAAAGGGTATAAAATTGCACTAATTGCAGATTGTCTGCTTAATGTCCTTAATACTTGTAACATTCTACTTTGGCTGAACTGAAAAAAGGAGAGTGAGTATGGTGATCAGACTTTTCTACAATCTATATTATTTTTCTACACAAAATTATGATTATTCCTATTAATACCAGCTGCTTAGGATCTCTATAAATGAAGTAAAGGTGGGATGAAGGGATGTATAAAGGGAGGCAGGGAGGGACAGAAGTAGATACAGAAGGAGGGAGGGACAAAATAGAATTTGGACTGTCTGATAGATAAAATGCTAGTACTTACCCAAAAGACAGATATAATAGAAAGGTACAGTTCAAATATAATTTAGGTTAGAGATAGGTCCTTAGATATTTTGAAATGTATTTTATAGAAAACAAATTTATTTCTTTCATCCTTTGAGCATTGAAACTCATCTCAGGATCCTCTGAAAGGAGAACCAGTTCCCGTAAGATTTTGTATAAGACATAGAATCAGACCCAACTTTCCCAGTGTGGAAATGGTACAATAATGCAGAATAGCAAGAAGAATTTGCAGACCCTGAAGATATGACATGAATTGCAATCTTAACAGTGGTTTTGCATATATAAGTCATTATCAGGAAATGAAAAACATTTCTTAATGCAATTTTCAGAAAATGATGAACAGAGCTTTGTAAATTCAAAAATATACTTAAGCTCTATAAGACATAAACATGAAAATTAAAATTTTATTTAGACAATGTAGTGTTTTTTTCTCATGTACACGCAGAAAGTTAATTCTTCTAGTATTTTTCAAAGATGAAGCGTGTGTCTAAGACATCTGAAGGAAAAATTTCACTTACTGTAGTTGAGCAGATAGCTGAAGAGTATAGCTGCTGGAAATTGTTTTAAGAATGAGGCTGAAAAAACCCTGCCTAATACCTAAAAAACTTTTGAATATATCTATATTCTATATCTCTGATCTGTATGTTCTAGAGATAACGTCATTCAATGTGCCAAACTTT